ACACACAACGACGTCCAAGTATATATATAGCGCCCTCGTGATTTGTTTTATATTTCCTGTCTTCGAACAGTATCCACGGTTCAACTTGTGTTTATTCTCTCTTCTCTTCTCTTCTTGCTCTGACGTTTTGAAGGAAAATGTATATCGGTCGCGGAGCCTTTTTCAATTGGAATTGGAAATCTCCAGTTCCAACCTACCGCGAATGTTTTAAACGTCGCGTGAAATGGAATTTTCCGGATGGATAGCACTCCGTATGGAGGACTCTACATCCTCCACGTTACTCCCATCGGCAAGGTCGTGCATAAAACGCACGTCAGTCATTTCCTGACCATTTAAGCTGGTAATATCATTTAACACCATTTGAATATTTTTATGTCACATGAAGATGAACATGTCTTCAGATAAATCTCTCTTAAACTGTCCTCAGATAAATCTCTCTTATCCTTTCCTTCGAGCTGGATCGGAAAATTCCCTCTGTATTTAAATATTTTCTTTCTGGTCTACATTCGAAGAATCATCTTACTGCCAAATCGACGAGAGAGGAGCAAACCGTGTCCGTGGTTGTAGAAACGTGGAAGATCGAACGCGTGATTGCACGATGCATTCGAGAGGCGACACGTAAGAGATGAACGAGAATACATTGCGGAAGGCGTGGGAAGAAGTCGGGGTTTTCTCAATAGCACCGAAGAATTCCTTTGTCGTCGAATTTTTTCGACGACGAGTGAAATATGTTGCCACTCGGCCCATTACTCCGGCTGGTAGCTAAAATCATCGTGGTCCGATGACACATCGACGTCACACGCGTCCCTCGACGCACCGCAGACGTATTGTCCAGGCAAAAGGCAAAAGGCGGGAAACGACGAGGTGGTGCGAGCACGCGTGGGCGAATTACCACAGGACAATCTCGACGATGTGTGTCGTTACGTGACACGCCGATTCATAGAAGTCTAAGGACACGGTGCACGCGTGTTCTCCACCTAACGAAGCCTTCCAAGCTTGCGCAAGTTAAGAAAGTACGGGAGGAGAAAATCCGAGACACGAATTATTCGGAATTATCTAACGGTCTGCGAGCTTTCTTCAGATTCTTGTGGCAGGTTTCTTCTTTAACACGTTCCGTGCCATGTGTACCACCGGCGGTACACGTTAAACTTGATAATATTACCACAAGTGGTAGACGATGTGATAGCTACTCTAAACAAGAG